CTCCTGCTGTTGGAAGCTGTCTTTTCCTATAAGCAGGGAAGTACACAAAAAGGACTGTACTTCACCTAGACTCAAATTAGATGCTAAATGCCAACTATTTAATTGCCTAAGAGAGACCATGAATATCATATGTTCATAATTTGTGATAGTTCAATATCTATGTCGATAATAATTTTAGAGGTCCTTATTAACTGTGATAGATCAAGTTTACATTGTCACCTTTTCACCTTTAATGTATGTTTAGTAACAGTGTTGTAACCAGCTTCTGCTGTTTTGTTTGGGGCGCCACCAGGAGTAGATATAAAATGTTTAAAACTTTCTTCTTGACAAAATACATAAAAACTGCCATGAAATGTTAAAATATTGAAATTACCAAAACAAACTGGAATTGAGAATTATTTTTGTGTATTTTTTTTTTACTTGTGCCTGGATTATAGTACTGTAATTATAGTGCTCTTGTGCCTTACTGATAGCAAGATCCCTACATCATTCATTCAAATTGTACTAATTTATAAATGTTTTTAAAAAACACAAAAGAAAAAATGACAGAAACAAACCCAAACCTATACACATAGCCACTAGCCAGACTTTTTTTGCTATCTTTTGTATACAGGTATGCTAAAGCTGTGAACTCTGATAGGTTAACATTCAATGAAAATGTTGTTTTTAAGAAAAAGTATGTCTGGAATAATGGAACTGGGAAAGAATATCAATAAGTTAGTGAACAGCAAAGTAAATGAATAGATGGATGGATAACACTGAATCCACATAGGAAGATTTTAAAAGTTGACTATTGGTTTCCTTAGAGCAATAATTAAATCAATAATTTGGAACTTCAAAACAAGTTCTATGAGAGGCTATTCATAAAGGATGCCTGGGTCTCTGAGGAGGAGATAAGTTGTTCCCTGTATACAACCCCCTTTTTTCTCACTGCAAAATAAATAGTACAGTTACATAGACATTTTCTTAGTACCTATAGAAGAAATCAGGGAGAACACACGTGTTTAGAACTCATCTGATAACTTTCTTACCTATCTAAATCAGCATGCTTCTCTCATGTACTACTTGAAAAGCACTTTGGAATTTGACCTTGTCACATTTCTTAAACAAATGAGTAAAATCAGGAAGCTTACACTATCATTGTTCTGCTCTGAAAAGTAACTATGTAAAAATGACACTTTCTTACTCAATAGACCTGTTCTTCGTATGAATTCTGAGTTATAGGTGCTCCATTTTCTGGCTAATCTGATTCTTTTCCTTTTGTCAGGACTGGGGAACTAGTATAGCTATTGGAAAAGGGATCTGGACTTATTCTGGCTTTTGCAGCACAGACAGACTTATTTATTAATCTCCAAAAGTAAAATCTGTATGGTAGATGATGCCAGAGCTAGAGTGAATCCAGCGTGACTTTCATGTTGAATTTTTTAGGAGTCTCTCTAAGTAAAAGAAAACAGATTTTCACTTCTAAACCAAGCAGATTCTGCCTGGATGCTGCTGAGAGACTACAGTGAAATCCACAATATGTTTGTTTTGCTAAGAACACCAACTAACCTGTACCCTTTTTTAGAAATTTTAAGAGTGACATTTTCCTTAAACACCATTGGATGCTGTGACTTTGGCGCCTGATCCTGTAAGGTTCTCAGCACTTAAATTTGAATACAGCAATGCATATAAGCACATGCTTAACTTCAAGTGTGTGAGTAGTATCGGTGATTCTGATCTCTGTTTTTCCAGTTTTGCTCTGTGGAACTTCTTTGACTTCAGTAGCCTTACACCTGATATAATTCCCTCTTTCAGGAAGGTACTTAGGCACCAGCCCAGTGGAACTCTTTCCATGCAGAAAGTCAAGAACATAGATCCTGGATCCACTGAAGTCAAAGGGAGTTGGGCACTGATCTTAGCGCTGGCAAATTCTGTCCTTCCATGCTTTCCCCCCTCCCCCCACTCCACGCAACACGCACGGTATCTTCCTGAAACAGACTTTTACTCTCACATGAGTGAGAACAGACTCAGATCTTTTTCTTTTTTTTTAATAAATGTGTTTCCACTATATGGAAAAGGATAGTATACACAGTGGGTGCATCTACATGTTCAGTAATGTACCGTGGTTACTGCACATTCAATTTAGTACCTGTAATAAATTTAGGTACTAACTGAATGCACAGTAACTGGCACTACTGTGCAGTAACACCGACATACAGTTTTTTGTGACTAATGCTCAGTAGACTAATTCGACCGTGCATTAGCACATTAGCACAGCTTTTGCCATGACGCATTAATGCACAGTCGAATTAGTCTACTGCACATTTAGTGTCTTGTGTAGACACACCTAGTGTTATACATGCAAAGAGGTCTGATCACACAAGAATCAATCCACAACTGCTGAAATTAGCAAAAAGTCTCTCATTGATTATAATGGGGAGTGTGCAGGCATGTTTTGCTACCTGTTCAAAGGGAAATTTACAAGTCTGCGTTGTCACTACATCCCTGCAATATGTGCCTATCTCTGTTCACAGTTTTCCTGTTGTTTTCATATTGTCTGTGATTATCAGAAGAAAGAATTGCATTCAGATAATGAACATCCCACTTGCAATGATTTCTTATTTTTATAGGACCTCAGTACAGCATTTCATTAATAAGAAGAAAGTACCTGTATACTTTGCTGCATGCATGAGCATTGTCGAGTAGAGAGTATCACTATCAGAGATGACTAAGCTATTCAAAATGATTTTGGTGGGATTATCTACATGCAGCAATCCTAATGGAGGATTGAGAGAAAACTGTAGAGAAGACATTACTAAAACTATAAGGTATATTATTGATGTTTTGCAGGAATTGGATTATCCTTCTGCAAAACATTGTGGTGGTCACTTACTCACAATTAATTATCTATACCTAGTTAATGTCATATTACTGTCAATTGCAAATGGCAGAAGAAGGTATAGGAGGGAGAGGCAGTTTATTAATGGCCAAACCCTGCAACGTGATCATTTCTACCTTACCTGCAACTCCTATTGAAATCAGTAGAATTTAGTAGTGGTCAGCTCTTGTCTTGAGTTGGATGCACAGTACTAAGTAGGAATCTCTATATCAGGAGAAAATGGAAATCCAAATGAGAAAGAGGGTGACACCATAAGAGCAGAAAGGGAATGAGATATCCTGCAAGAGGGGTACAGAGAGTGATAGAGAGTGAGGCCATAAATAATAGGGAGCAAAGAAGCATAGATGAAAGAGCAAGGGGATGGGAATACGCAGTAGTGAAATGATAACAGAGGAACAATAGAACACCAAGGAGGAAAACAGACAAACAGAGAAAAGGAAGGAACATTGGGAGTAAAAAGACTGAAGAAGGTAAAGGAGAAATCCTATTTCTGTAGAAACATCATCTTCTATCACAGATAGGTAGCTCAGCTTTTGCAAAAGCCATTTCATATGTCATATGTCTTAACAGGAAAAAATGGAAACAGAAAGTATGAAATTGAAGATCAAAAGAGGATGGCTGGGCCTCCCCAGTCATCTAGTAATTGTGTTTAACAAGGTCCTGCAGCATATCAGGGTCCAGTTCCTGTATTTTGTCCCGTCAGCTGCCAGATGTTTGAATTCTGGACTGTGGAATTTTAGCTTTCATTCCAGTCGTGATAGGATGTCACCCAGAGTATTCTGGGTGCTTAGTATTCACCTCCACTTCAACATGAATGACACTGATAAGACTTTGAAAGTAGAGCTACCCATTTCTCATCATCAGAAACATGGCAGCTGTTGATGTGAAAGGTGAATAGTGGGAAGTCCTTAGGGACCCTTCGTGGTTAGGAAAGACGTACATTTACTCTTATTTTATATTGCACCATTCAAGTTAAAAATGTAAAGGAGGCCATGACATTTTAAGGCATTGAAATAATTTTCACAGTGTATTTATTTATCTACAAATTTGCCACAAGATAATTACATTCCAGATATCTCTCTGTCTTAAAGGTATCAGTAGACCTCAACCAGATCTTAATTTTTGCAGCTTGTAGGAGTGGAGGGGGTTGCATTAAATTGCAGCTATATATGCTAGTCATCAGGCATCCAACAGCCCTTTTGTGGTCATAAAATAAGTAGTTAAATTTCAGACTAAAATGTATACCCACAATTCCTTGAAAGTGAGAAAATATGGGTATAGTTATTACAGCCAAAAAATGGAGACCCAGCTGAAAATCATGTCTTTAAAATCTTCAGTACTTATTAATCTTTACCTTGGCATCTGTCTTCACTGTGGTTCCAACCCAAGCCCATAGGCCTTTATGTGCCTGAATTAATATTTGTACATTGTATGTGGTACCCAAATTGCCCATACTTAATTTCACTGCAAATCCCTGATCCCTCTGCTGTGAGGGTAAGCACAGGCATGAGAGAAAAACAGGACTATTTGTGAAGTCGGGGGGAGGAGGGCCCACAGTTTGGCACAGCTCTGTCCAATCTCTTGTGTTGCCCCAAGATGGTTTGGACCTTCACGGGCCAAATTCAGCCTCTTTGTGGGCTGGGTCCAGCTCAGCAATGGCATAGCTGCGTGGATGATAGGGGCAACTGCCCTGGGTGCTGATTTCCGATTCAGGGGCAGGGTGTTAAAAAAACAGCTGCTGCCAGCAGCCACACATTTGCAATTGCAAACTAGAAGTCACCGCTGCCACTTTGCCCTAGATGCTAAGCTGTGCCCTACGCTGCTGCGGTCCAGCAGGACACAGGTTTCTGACCCCTGTACAAGAAGAAGAATTGAAGTTCAGACCACTGTGGGAAGGAACAGAGAGGCTTCAAAGAGACAAATATTTAAACAATAAGTTCCCTGAAAGACATATGTCTCCTGACGTGATGAAATACTTCAGAACTACAGTAATGAAATCCAATTTCTAAACGCAGATATGATGCCTGCAAGAAATAACACATCAGGAATGTTTCTGATGATCCCTCTTGTACAGCAAAATGTAGACAAATATAGAATATAGATATTCTAGTTTTACAAATCTTTCTGAACCTCTGATTAATCCGTCTTCTAAAAGGAGAGCTTCATCATCACGTTCTTTGACTATTATTCTGGAAGGTTAATAAAATAAATTAGGAGAAAAGAAGGTGATGAAGGAAATACAGTCACATTGAGAGTAAAACCCCCTGGAAGTGGTAATTAGGGAAGGAATCTCTCTACAGAAATATTCTCTAAATATTCCATTTGGGAGGAGATGATGGCTGTTCTCTCCTTTACCACATGGACCAGGCCATGTCTCATGAGTGTGAACCTTGTAGATCCTCAGAAGACCTGAGCCATGCCCAAAAAGGTCCTACACCTACAGTGGTCTGTTCCTCATTAAGACTATTTTAATAGGACTGCTCTACCAGGGACTTGCCTGGTCACAATTTTCCTTAAGAGGAATACTCATCAGAGAAGTAATTTCATGGAATAATTGAGACCCACAAAGCATGTCTTTCATATATTAGTACCATGTAGTCAGAGGAAGGATGATGCATAGGTTCCTCAGACTCATATCCTCTTGGTGCTGTCCTATCTACTTTCTTCTTCCCTTTCATGATCAAGCATCCTCCTCCCTTGGAGACCATAGGTAAAGGATTCTGAATGAAAGAGTCTTATGCAGATGATGTCTTCTTCCTGTGAATCTTAAGGGTATTACCTGGCTTTGAGCTCTCAGAGAAGTATCTCAGGGGTGGAATGACAACTGTAAGATCTGTATCTGTAATTACAGACCAGTAAATGAAACAGGTGTCTCAGTGGAATTATTTGACTTCATATTCAAGGGAGATATAAGCAACATGGATGTTTGGGAGAAAAACATAAAAAGAGAAAATGAAATCAGCAAGTGTATTTTTTTCAAGGAAAAGGGTCTGCGTTCTGTAAAAAAGCACATTTTGATAAAAATAATCTCACTGTTTGACAGATCCAATACACATTAGAAAAGGCAGGACTCTTTTCTGTTCCCAGAATAAATACAGTTTCATCCCAGTAAAGATCTTGATTATTCTTGGAGACTGAGACATCATTCTAAAAAACCAAAGGTAGCATACATACAGATATTTGGGGAGGTTACCAGGAGGTTAGATTGCATTAAAAATGGCGATAGATGCATAGATTGTTAGGGGCTGGAAGGGACCTTGCAGATCATCAGGTCCAGCCCTCCCGCTCTAGGCAGAAAGACAACTGGGGTTAGGTGACCCCAGCAAGGTGACTGTCATCTGATTTAACTTAGTTTATCCAGGTGTGGACTTTACACTTAGATCTCTAGTTAGTTCAATCTAAGTGAGAACTATACAGGAGTTCAGGAAAGTTAGATCAGTCTAAAAATGGACGACCTGATCTAAGTTAACTGTATGTTGGTGGTAGTTTAAGTTAGAGCAGGTTTGGCAAGACCAATCTAATTGAACTTCTGTACAGTTCCCAGTCACCAAGGTTGTGCTTTTCCTATTCCGTGTATAGCATCGGGCTATTTTTAGCCCCCCTGGCCCCTCCCCCCTGCAGACCAACCAGTGCTCTTCCCCACTGAGCCTGTCAAACTCCCCATCCCACAAGCTGCTCCTGGTGCTGGGAGCCAATGGAAGTAAGTTGGGATTGGGGGCGGGGTGGGCAGGATTGGGGGTATTGGTTTGCTGTGGGGGAGGTTGGTCCAGGGGTTAAAAATAGGGGGGGAGAGAACCCCCCCACCCCACTGCAGACCCTTCTTGTCCTCTGATTCCTTCAACACGCTTCACAGACCCTGCTGGCCCCCCTGATCTCCCCTGTGCAGACCTTGCTTGCCCCCAATACTCCCAAGCCGCCTTGCTAGCCCCCCACCCATCCCAATTTTCTTTAGATCAAGTGGCCATTTTTAAGTCAATCTAACCCTTCCCTAACCTCCCTGAATGTTTGTACAATATCCGTAGATGTTAATAGGAACTCTCGAAAGAGATTTAGGGTTGGGCTCCCACGTTCTGTTAACATCACTTCTCATAATTGCTTCTGCTCAACCAGCTCTTGATTGGTGTAACAGTGTAACAAACTATGATACACTGAAATTTTAAATGAGATAAAGTTGGAATCAGTCCTCAAAAATATTTCTTGGTATTGTTTTCCATAGCTACAATATTTGCTGCTTCTCTGAAATTGTCCTTGAGAACCATGGTACTTAGAATAGTTGTTAGTAGATATCTCTTGTTATGTCCTTGGAAGGCAAATAACCAACTTTGAAAAAAGTTTATCGGCTGCCAAGTTTGAAAGAAGTAAACTGTTCGTGGAGAAGCTGGGAAAATAGAAGCTGAAGGAGCTTTAAAAAAACAGTAAACAAACAAATTTATTTTTGCCTTCAGGAAATCAAAGGAAGAAAAGATGCCCAATATTGGCAAAAGGATAGCTTTTTAGAGAACCTGTGGGCCTAACAAATATGGGTCCAGCTGGAGCAGCGTGAGGTTTGTCAGGGCATAGGCACTCCATCTGAATGGATTGTGCTAGGTAATGGGTTTAGCTGAGTGGAAGCCAAGATCAAGCCAAGGTTGTGGTGAGATTGTGGTCAGGGCAAGCATCTGGTTCAGGGTGGGAGGTCCAAGACAAGAATAGGATTGATCAGAAACAGTCAGAAGGATAAGAGCATGGTTCACAAGCCAGAGGTTCACAGCCTGCACCTGTCTGGTCTGAGTTTATATAGGCCAGTGTTGGTTGGGCCCTCTTTCTGAGGAATAACTCAGTTTGATTCTCTGATTTATTCCATCTGGGGTTTGGGACTGGCTGTGCCTCCCCTGGGCCTCTGTTCATTAAAGGTAGATCTAGTCCCAGACCCCATCTGGAAGTGTCAGGCAATTGAGCTGAGTCATCCCTCAGGAAGTGGGCTCTGCCTGCACTGTCTTTTATAAGCTTAGAGCAGGAAGTAGCAAATTGTCTAGGAAGCCAGTTTCCCTGCTGTGCCCTGGGCAGGCTTGAAACTCCAACCCTAACCCTGATTCTGGTACGTAAGTGTGGCTTGTGATCTCTGGCTCTGAATTCCTGGCTTATGACCTTGCAATAGAGGTGACCCACCCTGACCACCCACACTCCACTCTATTAAATTGGGACACAGGAAGAAACTTTAGAATGATTTCAGGATGCAGCAGAAACAAGTTTAGTCAATAGAGGCCTTGGAGAAAACCAACAAGTTCTCATTTCTTTAGTCCAGCATCCTAATGAAAATGAGTCACAGCTGGGGAGAAGGGAGAAATAGAGTACACCCTGTAAGCCACAGATTTCTACACTTTAATCAAGCAAATGGACATATCAACAGAACACTTTCCATAGACCTGCCCCTCCACAAAAAATAGAAGAAAACCACATATTTGGTAACACTGAAATATTTTGCAACTCATTTTAGTTGTACCAAATTGTGTTGAGAAAACAGGAACATTTTTGGAAAATTGAAAAATTATGTTGTCTCCTTTAATTTTTTTTAAAAAGTCTTAAAAGACTCAAAATCTAAATGAGTGTTTGAGACTTTACAAAGTTGCCCGCAAACTGCAAAATCAGTTATTTGCACAGCTGTCCTAACGAGACTGTGATACAGAGAGTCCCTAGCAAAAATGTCAGTAAAAGTTCCTTCCACTGAGATCATATGAAACCCCTTAAGTATTCACAGACCTGTTAACAGACATAGTGCAGAGCTCAGGTCCCAGTGAATTTATATATACCTGTACTTGGATGACCTACTTGTGTGGATATAATCATTAGAGCAAATACAGGAAGCAATGAACTCTGCAGTATCAGCACTACAAGAGCATGGATTCATAATAAACTTCCATAAAAAGAAGTTGGTTTCAACATAGTCATTGACACAAGATGAGAGATGCCTTTGATCGAGGAAAGATTCAAGAAGATAAGCTTGGCTGGCTATCCACGATGTCACACAGACAAAGAAAGCATCTATTAGAGCCTGTCTCAAGCTGCAAGGAACAATGGTTTCATGTACTGATATAGCAACCTTGGCAAGATTCCATCTGAGAGAGCTACAGAGAATCTTTCTGAGGAACTGGTACCAATCTCCTGTCAACATGAAGAATAAGCTGGTAATGCAGGGAGACAATGATGAAAAGGACATTACTGCATGTTCCTCCCAAAGAAATTGTGATAATGGATGCCAGACTTCCAGAATAGCAGCCCATGCTTAAAACATCCAACAACATAGGGAATCTAATCCCCAGAGAAGAAGATATTCACATTAAATGTCCTCAGATTAAGAACAGAGAAGTCTGCTATCTTAACTTATCAGGACTGACTTAGAGATCATCATGTGTTAATAACAACATGAAACCTGACTGTGATTGTATTAGTAAAAAAAGGTCAGGTACTCAGAGCTGCAGGTCACATCAGGAATCATTACTCTTAATAGACTGAGTAGATATTCACCTGGCAACTAATATGGGAAATGAGTATAAAAGGGAACTCTCACAAAAAGCATCCTGTCTCAGCAGGCAACCCCATCAATAGGAAAGTGGCACTTCAATCAAGAAATTTTCAATCAGATTTTTCATTGATTCAGTCAACCTCACACCAGACTTCTGCATCTAAAATAAATTATAAGACAAGGAAAGGAAATGCACTAGCAATGAGCAATGACTATCTTTTCTCTGATTTATTAAGTGCCTATCTGTTGTTTAGTACACTGGACAAAAATTAAAATATTTTAATAGCTCAAGGAGATTGCAAACTGACATCAGTTCCCATGATAAGTCACTCCCACAATTTGCTATTTTTAATTTCCTCCAACATCTACCCAGCTTCATAACCCACTTCCTGTTTCAGTTCCCCAACTCCTCCAGTAATCTCCAGGTCATTCCTCCAATCATTCCATCTTTTGTTGAGGAAATAACCAGGAGTGTGCCAATGTGGGCTTAAGCAGATGTTGCTATAAACTGTAATATACTATATATCTTTCTCAGAGACCTCCACTAAGCAGGAATATAGAGAGAATGAAGTTTGAAAGAATATCTGTGCCAAGCAGACTGATTCCCAAGCACAATAATACAAGTAGAATCTTTTTTCCTCTGCTCATAGATGTGTCCTTTTAGAGAAAGGAATGTATTAAAAAACTAACAAAATTATGTCTAGGCCACTGTTGTGAAGGGAGCCTACATTTATCCTTGCACGCATGCAGGACATGTGCAAGGACTTGGCTAAAATTCAGGTATTGGTGTTTAAAGCAGAACTTGGACTCCCAAGGATAAAAAATACTCTTGATTTCTCAGAGTTCAGACAGGAGGGCTTGTTCTTAAATACTGCTTTAAGTAATCCACAAGCCTAGATCCTTCCTTGGTCAGTTGGGTAGTCAGATAAAAGAGTTTAGAGGTATACACATCCACAAGTGGCAGTAGCATAACTGGCCAGTGGTGACCAGGGCAATACATCCAGGTGACGTCCTTGGGAAGGGTGCAAAAGCAGTCATTTCCAGCTCACTTTACTAGCCGCAGCATCACATTGGAGGCTCATGTTCATCTTGTGGTCTATCATGGCCCCCAAGTCCCTTTCATCTGTAGTGCTAACTACAGATGTTTTGTCTCAGACCAACATGGCTACCAAGTACACCCCTAAATTAATGAAAGCATTTAATCTAATAAAACCTCTCAAAAGTTCTGTCCAAACTGAAACTTGAATTGGGTCTTCAGAACCTTTACTTAACCTGAAAATGAAACTCTGTATTCTGTTTCGTTCTGTTTGTTAAATTTGTTCTTAGTCATAGTTACCTGTGAAACGAGTGTCAACATAAGGATGTTAGCTTTGAAAAAATCTATATAGTACCTTTTGTTGGATTAAAGGTAGTTCTTAAATTACTCTCACCTTTTATGTTTAAAATTAGTTTTTCATTCCACCAGTTGTTAGAAATTATCTTTTTGAATGTATATGCTATAATGGCCTGCAGAGTCCTACTTCAAGCATTTCTGTGACCTTGGTAGAATTTAAGTATGTACATAGAGTTAGTCAGAGGCTTAAATGTTTTGCTGAATTGGGGCTAGACTTTTTAGCTACTAATTTATGTTTTTTGATTTAATACAACCACCAAGACTGATGATGCATAAAATGCAGTATGCTGTCATACTTTTAACACTATATTCAGAACTTTTAGAGTTTTTAGACTGACATTTTCTTGGTTCTCCAGTTTGTTCTCTCAATTTCAGTTTGGATTATGGCATTTTGCTGTATGGAAACTTTCAAATGGATGTAAACCTGGAATAGGTTGAGCTTTTCTCTCTTCTTCAGTAGAGCCAATTCTGAACTTTTACCACTAACTATAGGGATGAGGAAAGCCAGGTAGTGCCAGGCTGATGGATGTGTTAATCAGAAAATGTAAATCAGCAAGAACAACTTTAACATTAAGATGCCATGGTGGCAGAATTTCTGGGTGTCCAGATTGCTGGACTCTGTTCCTGTGTCTTCTATTAACTCAGTGCATGATGAGCAAATCACTTATACTGAAATCAAACTGAATTCTTAAAGTTGGCTTAGATTCCTAAATCCCTGGCCTGATTCTCAAAGATGCTGAAGACTCACAACTTCCTATGAAGTTAGTAGGATTTGATGGTATTCAGCAGTGCTGTTCAACTTCTGACCCGCAGGCTGAGTCCAGTGTAGTCCAGTGTAAGGCCCTGGTTATCCAACCCACAGAGCTCCTTACAGGTCCAGAAATTTGGCACCAAGGTAGCAGTGGCAGTGTTAATTGCTGCAGCTCTGGAAGTGGCTCTGGAAGATGTGCCACCACTACCCCACTGCCAAATTTCCAGGCCCTTGGGAAGCTCTGCAGGCCAGATGACATGGACTTGTGTTGCAAATCATGCCAGTCTGCTCCACAGCTGCATCTGGTATGTGAGGCCGGGTCAGCGTTAATCTGATCCCACACACCAGCCCCATGCTGGGTTTAGCCCATGGACTGACTCTGCCCACAGGATCTGGCCTTGTGCCATTGATGAGGCCCTCAGGCAGAAGTTTGAGCACCACTCTGCTTAAATATGTAGGTTCATGTTCCTGACTTGAAGTCTGAACATTTTGACCTTGAATAACTTTACCTCAGTCTATATACCTGTAAATAGACAAAATAAAACCCACTTTCCACATAGTGCTCTGAGACTTGAAGTTTAGTGTTTTAGGTATCTACGGATATAAGTTGTATAAATGCAGACTATTAATAACGACAGGAATTACCTATGTACATCAGGGAAGACTAGGTTTCTTAGAGACCGGTCTTAAAAAGCATTATAGGAAAAAAGATGCAGTATACCTGAGCTCTGACTGCTTTTCCAATAAGCTTTTACTACTCCAGTATACATGCTGTACAGTTTGGAGCTTCATAGTATTAACTGAACATGAGATTAAATAAGGCATATTAATATGAATGTGATTCATGGTCTTATCACTGTGTCATATACTGTGCTACGAAATACGGAATATAAAAGTCAAGTATTTTACATGGTAATATAAGATCACCAAACATGCAACAGTATAGTAAGGGGAAAAAATCTAAAGACCAGGAAATAAATCATATTTTAAACAGAAAAATATACAGTGGTGTGGAATGGTTCTGAATGCAAATCAGATACACACAACATATTTTAGACAAAAACACATATAATTAATTAGATAAGAACTGCAAATGCTTTCCCTAGAAAAGATTATGGTTGCTGAGTTCACATTAAACTTTTATAAAAACAGAACAAAACCCCCAAAATCTCTTACATATAATTACCCCACTGACTAAAATAGCTTTTAGTTTTCTTTTAAATCTGTCTCACTCCCTTATCAAAATACTGCACGTTTACAAATTGGGTTGTATTTTAATACTATTAAGGGTGGATTGCATGCAGCTAATGTCTAGAAATTCCAAGTTAAGCCTCACATTTCGTTCTGTACCTTAAATACTGAGCCATGTTTGTTCATTGGTTTCTCACAGTGTTGTAAGGTTAGAAGGGAATATCAGAGATGAAAGTTGAAAATTGAACTAAGCTTTTATCAACTAAACCTTACAAAGACATTCAACATTTTACAAGTAGAGTTGACTGTGATGTGACATGCAACACAAAAATATTGTAATAAACAATTTATTTTCTATTGCTAAGGATGACCATGCACAACTGACTTAGGGCTCCCCTTTGGTTTGCCACTTGTTACACGTGCAGTGATCCCTAACTCATACAAAAATAGTTTATTATATACCCAAGTTGCATAGTTTCAGTCTGCTGTCCTCTCATTAAAAGGCTTTACTTGAAGAGACTTAACATCTCAGGGAATATACAATGTATATGAAAGCTTTCACAGCTAGGTCATAGTTTGAATCCAGTCCATGCTGGCAAGGATCATGAGCCTATCTCTGATCTCACAAGCAGATATGGTGTAGCAAGAAGGTAAAAGCCATTATTTGACCGTAAGTAGTAGTTTCAGTCTATGGGCCAAAGGCTGCATTGTCAGAAGGACTGACTGATTGCAGGTGCTCCCTCCAAATGAGGGTTGAAGCACATTAATAAGACAGCGTGGGAAAATATTACACTGTCACTGCCCATGATGTGTAAGTTCTGTACATAAAGTGAGGGCTTCCATTTCCTGTGCTGTCAATTCAGTCCCTTACATAAGCCCTAAATTCATTTAAAAATAAGTAAGGTCATTTGTTACAGCATTCCCTCTCCATCTTTTTGACAGATGTTGTCTTGTTTCCCGGATATCTTGATCTGTAGTTGTATCCTGTGTTACATCATCTAACAATACTATTCGAAAGGGTTTGATTTCTATGCTTAATATGGCTGGAATCTCCCATTGTATGTTGTTTCTCTGATTAAGTTAATTTGAGATGGCACATATCTAAAGGCAATCAATACTAAAAGAAATCAAAACTAGACTTGAGTTTATTTTGCACAACTCTTTAAAAGGGGGTGCAATACTAATATAAATGTAAATTAGTCTGTCAGCCAGACACACTTTCTAGATAATAAGATAAGCTATATTTAAAAGAAACAGTGTGTGGACCTGAGTGATAAAGCTCCCTCTACTGGAGTGTATTACTAATAATAAGAGTTTCTATGAAGCGATTTTACCCTGCTGTTGAAAATTCAGTGATGATGAAACTTGATTAATGGTTTTCTATAGCTTTCTTAACCCAAAATGTCCTTTAACAATATATAAATTAGCTCTAATAATGCTATTCTGATCAGCAAAATTATGGTATCTGGCAAGAATGTAGTACCTCAAACATACAGTCTCCCTGTGGGTATTAAGTGCGTATTTTTAAATGCAACGTCACCATGACATTTCAAATGAATTCTTTTATCATGATTCTTTATTGCCATTTTATCACTCTCAGGCTTAGTGTAACTGATAGAGGTTCAATTATATGTAAAGTGACTATTAAAGCATCAGGACTCATCTGGGGGTCTGGACCTCCCCTCCTCACTTCACTTACAATTGTGCTAAATCCATTAAAGTTGCAAAGAAATGTACATTCATCAGGTATAGTGTTGGAGGCCAGGGTGCATATAACTGCTTTTACTGCATATGAGACATTGCAGTCCTGTTCTTAAGAACTGCCAGGCAGATTGGGAATCACGGTCACGGTTAATAGCAGCGAATTGCCAGCTCTTGATGGGTGGGTAGTCACTCCTTTCAGTGGTTGCCCCCTGGGGGAGAAGGTAGAAAAACAGAGGGAGGGAATTAGAGTGACTTTGCACAGTTGAGCAGGTTCATGCCGCTGGATCAGTGGCAAGCATTGGCAGGGCTCCACTCTGGGGAGGCTCACAACAACATCACAGTCTCATTTTTACCAATTGGTGTTGCTATAGCCAGTGGTGCACAGGGGGAGAGCAAAGAGAAGGGGGGCTGTGGGGGAACGGGAAAGCAGGAGTCTGGACTAAATTAAACAAACAAAAAAGTACTTGTAAGTGGCGTTTAACCCATAACCATTTGCCTGGTGCTACTAATTGTACTAAACTCTATATTTGAAGTTCCGAATGTGATTAAAGAGTTGGCTCACAAACTCTCTGCATAACCTTAATTTTTTCAAGGTTCTTTGAGTGTAGAATGGCTTATAATAATGATTTTGACTAATACGATTTTTGACATGCAACTTTAATGCTTAACCTTAGTACAACTCCAGAGCATTTCATGTGTATTCAGCTGTAAAGAGTGATGATTTAAAGGGATAATGTAAGAAAAAGGTCATTTTAGAATGAACCTCTAACAAATTGCATAAAGGAAGCTTATTATTCCATGAGTAGAGGAATATGCAGCTTTTCTGATCATTTTTCTGCTTGGTTCAAAAATTTGTTGAGACATGATTGGGGAAAGAAATACCAAAAAATACAATAGAAAACTGCAAGCAGTGAACATTCTTTTTTGATGGTTATGATTTTGTTGCCACTAAAAATACTCTACAGTAATGTGGTTGTTCATCTTTTTTCTTGTTTTGGGTGAAGAATTCGCTCCAATAAGAAAATGCTGTTATTGGTTGGAGGATTGCCTCCCGGACCTGACCGGCTACCCAGCAATTTGGTTCAGTATTATGATGATGAAAAGAAGACGTGGAAAATACTGACAAGTAAGTGGTTTATTTTTTGTACAGTTGTCTTCATGAATTTAAAAACATGGTTAATCAAATTAGACACTTTATTGATTTGTTTCCCTTCAGAGATTTGTTTATGTATCACAAGGGGCTTCACAATGGAGCAATAAATTGAGATTGCAAAAGATGCAAATTTTGTAATGGAATAGGCTTAAATTAAATCTGGCTTAAAATCATTCCAGTAAGTTTTCCAAGTAAACTTGCTAAGCTTTCATACTAGAACAAACATACATACATATTTTATATAATTATATACAGTATTACATATAAATATAATCTGATTTAAGAAAAAAACTGAACTTGGAGACAGTGTCTCAGATTTTGGCTAGCCCTGGCTTTTAAAGCATTCTTTGCACTCTGTTTTATACTTTTATTTTTGTGTTTGACCTATATCTTTTGAACACAGCTGTTAAAGGTGGTCTTCTCCACACTCTTTTGTATCTATTTCTGACAACGGTATTAGAGGTATATATCACCTACAGTAAACAATGCTTAGAGGCTTTTGTCCAGGATTCTTTCCTTCCAGCCCCCTTTCTTAAAGACTGATTGTGTTTTACAGCAAGCATTTTGCCTTGAGCATTGAGATTTGGAACTTATTGTTATATTGGTTACAATTCCCAATCTAACTTGGTCATGGAATCAAATCATAGTTTCTTGAGTGCAGCAGGCTGTGTGTGCACTAGTCCCCTTGTGGCTAAACTGACTGCATTGGTCAATAAAACTAAATTTTAACTGTCAAAATTGCCCAAGGCAGTATAGATAAAATAATAAATGAACAATTTTGATCCATAAATCAAAGCCATACTTCTAAAACTGGGCAACAGGAGAAACTTGAGTTTTCTAACAGACATGCATATTTCCCACTTACAGTGTTCTATCCTTTTTTTTTCCTCTTATCCAAAGCCCTTTAAAAATTTCAGCCAGGATAATATTATTTTCATAGAACAAAGCAAAAGTAAAGACAGACCAGTGCGATGCAGTGCTTGAAATAGTGTATCTGCAAGTTGGCTGTGAAAATCTTAACTGGTAATATCCAAGAACTGCAACATGAAGACTCCCTAGGTACCAATACACTGGATTAGTATTAGATGATGTTGTGTAAGAATGGGAATATTAAGAAGAAGATATGCCTTATAGATCAGAAAAGTTTACAGTAACCTCACTATTCTAGTAGACATGTCACTAATAACATTCCAACCATCAAAATGTATGATGATATCCGCCTTTCTTATGGCAGGTTACTTTTAAGAAAAATCTATAAGATAATAATAGTGCAAAAAAGAACGGTGTTTTCAAACAAAGCATCAATGTCTTTTTTGGATGTTGGTTTATATAACACAGTACCTCATAGTGAGGCATGAGTGGATGACAGCTCTCTGTAAAGTAGGGGGTGCCTGACACAAATTCTTAGCCCACAGCTGAATTAAAGATATTACTTTATTTCCAATTGACTATTTGAGGGATTCAGACAGTGTCTTGAAAGTATTTATACCTGAAGATACCTTTTAACAGGAATGAAATTTATTTGACTCCTGAATTTTGAAATAGTATTGTCCCATAATTTAGGGGACAGTTGAACCCATAATAACACTCTATGAAAGGTCTGGTTAGGAATGTTGTAGATATTCTCAGTTCATTAAGCAGAACGTGTACCTCATTTAGTTGAAATAGCTGATTTTGAATTTGAATTTGAGTCACACTGAGGATGTGTTTTCCCAGGGTCTTTTTTTTTTTCCTAAGTACATTCTGAAAAACTTTTTAGTGAATATTTTTGTGTAACTCAAAATAATGCGTGTTCATCCCCTCTCACCCTTTTGCAAACAATTAACTAAAACCATTCTTTTCACATGGGTTATTGTGTTTTATGTACTCTGTCTGATCTGCAAAGGATGTCTCTGTTATAGTCCCAAGTATAGTGTTTGGCTCAAGTTCTTGAATCTTAGGCTTTCAGTCTCTAGAGGTCCCTGGATCAATCCCAGTGTTGGCTAAGATGGTGGCTGTCATATATATGCATATTAGGGCTGTGCGAAGCTTCAGTCTCTGATTTGATTCAGCGGAGATTCGGCCTGATTCGGTGGCCGAATCTCTGAATCCGAATCGAATCAGGGGACCCTTTAATCTCTCGGAATCAAATCGGAACCCTTTGAATCGATTCAGAAAGATTTGGAGATTCAGACATAGACACAGCTTTAAATGTTTTTTCTACATACCCCAAGGTAGCAGGCAGCTAGTGAATGCTGCGATGCTGGGAAGATGGAGTGTTCCACAGGAGTGCGGGGGGCTCCCCAGCTTGCTCAGCAGCAGACCTGTAAGGGGGTAGAAGCACTTCTAGTCCACTTCCGGGTCCACAGGGACTGCGTGGCCCCCCCCCCCCACATTGTCTGGCTCAGTGACTGGTGCCTCCTGGGTCTGGGGGGGGCACCCAGAGTCTCCCTGTGGCCGATCACCAAGCCAAGGGGAAGCAGGGGCCTCCCTGTGTGCTCCCTGGCAGACCTAGAGGTGGACCAGAAGTACTTGCGGTCCACTTCCGGGTTTGCCACTGAGCACACGGGGGACCCCCCCCCCCGTGCTCCTGTGGGACGCTCAATCCATGCCACCATTGCAGCATTCGCAAGCCATACATGGTACCTTGAGGTATATAGAAAAAACATTTAACGCTGTCTGTGGCCAAATTGCTTGATTCTCTGAATCAGCATTGAACCTTCAGATTTGGATTCGGCTGAATTGAATCAGGGACAGTGATCCGAATCAGCAAATTGGATCACTGTCCCCAATTCAGGCCAAATCCAAATAAAAAACAGCCCATTTCTCACACCCCTAATGCATATCCCTGCTGAGACATGCTAAATAGTGTTCTTACACAAACAGAGGTGTTTACTCTTACACAAAAAGGAGCCATATTGACTCAGACTATTGCATTAGGAACACAGAGAAAAATATCAATATTTGCACAGTGGAAAGGTCAAATGTAAAAGGGACAGCTTTGTAGAAAGTATTGCAAAAACCTTCCAAATCATAGATGTTAACAGTAATTTAAAATCCACATTAAAAGAGTTGAAATAGCCTTTAAACTGTTTAAAAATTCTGTTCTCTCTCCTCGTCATTTTCTAGCTCATTATAAAGCAGCATTTTGCAACCTGTGGGTCGTGACCCAAAAGTGGGTCACCAGAATATATGAAAGGATAATGAACAAATTTTAGAATTGGATAAACAAACTTTAAAAGCAGATTCTCCTTGAAAGGAGAA